CTCTCTCTCTCTCTTCTTTCTCTCTCTCCATCTCTCTCTCTATCTATCTATCTATCTACCACACACAAACACGTACATACTCCGAGAAGATACGAATTTAAATATTCTAATGATAATTTTATCGTAAAACAAAGACAAAAAAAACAGAAAAAAACGAGCTTGGAAATAATTAAAATGGCCCAATTTCAATAATCAATTAATCAGATCCATCAAGTGCCATCTCTTACGAAACTACGTACTTTATGGATTGATTTTCCATTAGTTCTGATTTGTGCTTTCATTAGGCCCCGGAAGAAAATGATGAAGTATAAACAGAAGCTGGAATTCCTTCATTTCCTATCTGTATGAAAAAAAATGTAGGCCTATCAAAAAAATATAATGAGTATATATATATCAAGAGAGAGGGAGAGAGAGAGAGAGAGAGAAAGAGAGACAGATATATATATATATATATATATATATATATATATATATATATATATATATATATAATGAGAGAGCGAGAAAAAAAAAATATGATGACAATAAAGTTAATGATCGGAATAACAGTGGTAAGGCCGATCAGGAAAATGTTGCTTATTAACGTAAAAAATATTCCAAACTGGTAAATTTGAATAGTGTCATGACCCGCTTTGTGCCTTATTACAAATCTAACACTTAACTAGAAGTAACATTTACATTCTAAGAGAACGTACGATGATAATCCACTAATGAAAAGGAGCAAATAGTGCATTGAATCTGAATCTTCTATTGACTATAATATCACATTTTAATAAATTCTATATGCACATGTGGCGCCCTCTACGTTTGATATCATCGCGTGACTGTGAAGGCGTTCGGGCCATTTGTATTTATCGAAGAGAAAATTGAAGTAAACATGAAGGAAGCGGCTCGGTTACCGTCTGTCAGTATATACAAAAGTGGCATGCAAATATTCCATATCACTACTGATACGAGGCCATTTTCAACAAGACCAACGTTGCAGTATTGTCCACGTCTCATGAGGACAATTTCAAGACAGCCCTTGCGCGTGTGTGGCATTCTCAGGCGTCTTTTAAACTCCGGTCGAGTCATAAACACAAATCAGGTGTTACAGTTGCGTAAATAGTCATAGACAAAATTGTGGAGCCATTGACAAATCCTTGGTCTATGAATATAGGAAATGTGTATGGTGCTTCAAAGGATAAATAAACGAAGAAGATATAGAAGGTATTTCTCTCATCCTCTCTACCTCATTTTCACAAAGAATCAACCGCAAAGAAGAGAGAGCGGGGTTATTTAAAACAGCTTTGAAAACTTTTCTGAAATGAATTATAATAAACAAGCTGTTCTTCAGAAAATCAAACTAACGCAAAATACCAAAAAAAAAATAAAAAAAAATAAAGAAATAAAAAAACACACAAAAAACACCACCTTCGAAACTACTTTTTATTCAAACAAGTTCTCCTTTAGTTTGAGATCAGTTCCGTGCTACGAGGTCATTATTCATCTTATTATAAGCTACTTATTCCTCAAACACATGCAGCGTATAGTGCTTTCCTTTAAGCAACTATATTCCTAAACATAAGCGTTCAGAATAATCTACTGCTGTGTTAAATGAGCATCTAATTTGTACGCGTTTTTCCTGTTAGATTTATAACATTTGATATATATTCTCTTTCTCACTCTCTCTCTCTCTCTCTCTCATTCTCTCTCTCTCTCTCTCTCTCTCTCTTTCTCTCTCTCTCTCTCTCATTCTCTCTCTCTCTCTCAATCTCTCTCTCTCTCCTTCTCTCTCTCTCTCTCTCTCTCTCTCTCTCGCTCTCTCTGTTTCTCTCTATCTGTTTCTCTCTCTATATCTGTTTCTTTCTCTCTGTGTTTCTCTCACCCCACCCCCCTCTCTCTGTTTCTCTCTCTCCGTCTTTCTCTCTCTCTCTCTCTCTCTCTCTCCCTCTCCTCCTCTCTTTCTCTCCCTCTGTCCGTATGTCTGTCTGTTTCTCTCTCTCTCTCTCTCTGTCTCTCTCGCTCTCTGTCTGTCTGTCTGTCTGTCTCTCTCTCTTTCTCTCTCTCTCTCTCTGTCTCTCTCTCTGTCTCTCTCTCTCTCTCTGTCTCTCTCTCTCTCTCTCTCTATATATATATATATAGATGCATGTATATATATATATATATATATATATATATATATATATATATATATATATATATATATGTATATAAATATATATATATATGTATATATAAACATAGATATTAATCCAATATATATATATATATATATATATATATATATATATATATATATATATATATATGTATATATATATATATATATATATATATGTATGTATATATATATATATATATATACATATACATATACATATGTATATATGCATGTCTGTATATATGTATATATAAACATAAATAGTAATATATATATATATATATATATATATATATATATATATATATATATATATATATATATATATATATATATATATATATATATATATATATATATACACATGTATATATATATATATATATATATATATATATATATATATATATATATATATATATGCGCGTGTGTGTGTGTACGTGTGTATGTGCATTATACATATGATCTTTATTCTCGACTCTATCTTCACCTACTCTTGCTCAGTTCTTTATTACCTTCTCTGTTACTTGACTTACTGCATTTCCTTTTTTTTTAGTTTATTTAATCAAACACCAAATTTAGATCAGTTCGTTCAACAAAGACGTTTTTTTCTTTCTTTCTTTCTTTTTCTCTTTTTCCTTCTTGCACTTCGGTAGATTAGCTTGAAAAATAATTCTGGGATACTTAGATGACAGGATCAAATGTCTTTTTGAATTCTTGGCTCAAGCTCGGCGTAGAATACGTCTGGCGAAAGAAAGACTCTGTCTCTCTCTCTCTGTCTCTGTCTATCTCTCTCTCTCTCTCTGTCTCTCTGTCTCTCTCTGTCTCTGTCTCTCTCTCTCTTTCTCTCTGCCTCTGTCTGTCTCTGTCTCTGTCTTTGTCTGTCTGTCTGTCTGTCTCTCTCTCTCTCTCTCTAATAGGTGAAAATGTAAATACAAACAGAGCAGAAAATATAGAAAAGTACATATATAGATAAAATGTTTGCTGAATGCATAAATAAACATGACCA